ACACGTCTCTCTCAGGTGTCCAACTCAGGCAGACTTGCTGCAGGGAGCTTGCGGTGTGTCACAGGGGTGCTGAAGGCTCCGCGGTTCAATCCCAGGAGGTGGTGAAGCCAAGTGACTCACCCCAGTGAGAGAGCGTGACCCGAACGCGGCTGACACGCAAAGGGCTCCACCCAGGGACTGTTCCAGAGCCGTGTGAGAGCACCAGGCCTGTGGAGCTGTGACACCACAGGTGCCAGCTTCCTCCGGGCCCCAGGGGTGCTCAACCTCCCGCTCCGCCCCAGGCCCCGCCCCCACCCACCCCCTTCCCCCCTAGTCCCCTGCCCCACCCCATGCCCGCCCCACCCCAGCCCTTCTCCCACCCCTACCCGACCTCTTCCCCGCCTCTTCCCACTCCTGCCCCACCCCTGCCGTACACCCACGCCAACCCTTCTCCCAAGCCCCCACCCTGCCTCTTCCTGCCCAGTTCCGCCCTCTCCCCCGAGCGTGTCCCCTCCCCACTCCTCCCCCTCCCACCTAGTACCTCCTGCATGCCGTGGAACTGCTGATTACAGCAGGCGGGAGGAGCTGGGGGGGGGGGTTGGATCGGCAGGGCCACCGGGGACAGGAGGCACTAGGGGGAAGGGAGGGAGCTGGCTGCTGGTAGGCACTAAGCATCTGCTAATTTTCTTCCGTGGAGCACCCGCGGAGTCGGAGCCTATGCGTGATACCTTTGTTTGATGTCACTGGTTTCAGACATGGGGCCGAGCCCCTGAAGGGAAGAATGGCAGGGCATGATGGATAAACAGGGGAAGCGTGAGCAGGAGCAGAGAGGTTATTGTACCTCTGCATTTGGCCTTGGTGTAACCATTGCTGGAATCCCGTGTGACAGACTCAAGGAGCTCAATGTATTTAGTTTAACAAAGAACAGGTTAAGGGGAGACTTAATCCATGGGGAACAGAAATTTCATAACAGGGGGCTCTTTAGTCTAACAGAGAAAGTTCGAACAAGTGCCAGTGGCTGGAAGTTGAAGCTAGACCAATTCAGACTGGAAATAACTGGAGTTCCCCAGGGGTCTCTCTTGGGGCCAGTTTTGTTCAACATCTTCATTCATGATCTGGATGATGGGATGGATTGCACCCACAGCAAGTTCATGGATGACAATAAGCTGGGGGGAGAGGTAGATATGCTGGAGGGTAGAGATAGGGTTCAGAATGAAATCTGATGAGGTTCAACAAGGACAAGTGCAGAGTCCTGCACTTAGGATGGAAGAATCCCATGCACTGCTACAGGTTGGGGACCAACTGGCTAAGCAGCAGTTCTGCAGAAAAGGACCTGGGAATTACAGTGGATGAGAAGCTGGATATGAGTCAGCAGTGTGCCCTTGTTGCCAAGAAGGCTAATGGTATATTGGGCTGCATTAATAGAAGCATTGCCAGCAGATCAAGGGAAGTGATTATTCCCCTCTCTTTGGCACTGGTGAGGCCACATCTGGAATATTGCATCCAGTTTTGGGCCCACCACTACAGAAAGGATGTGGACAAATTGGAGAGAGTCCAGCGGAAGGCAATGAAAATGCTCAGGGGGCTGGGGCACATGACTTACGAGGAGAAGCTGAGGGAACTGGGGTTATTAGTCTGCAGAAGAGAAGAGTGAGGGGGGATTTGATAGCAGCCTTCAACTACCTGAAAGGGGGTTCCAAAGAGGATGGAGCTCGGCTGTTCTCAGTGGTACCAGATGACAGAACAAGGAGCAATGGTCTCAAGTTGCAGTGGGGGAGGTCTCGGTTGGATATTAGGAAAAACTATTTCACTAGGAGGGTGGTGACGCATTGGAATGGGTTACCTAGGGAGGTGGTGGAATCTCCTTCCTTAGAGGTTTGTAAGGCCCGGCTTGACAAAGCCCTGGCTGGGATGATTTAGTTGGGGTTCATCCTGCTTTGAGCAGGGGGTTGGACTAGATGACCTCCTGAGGTCTCTTCCAACCCTAATCTTCTATGATTCTATGATATGGTGTAACGTTCTTAACAGGGAGGGTAAATAACATTTGGGACAATGTATTAAGGGCCACAGTGAATTCTCCATCAGTGGCAATTTGTAACTCAAGATTGGATGCTCTTTTCTGAAAGATCCACTGCTCTTCTTCAAACCAGGATGAATTCAGGGCAGTCCTATGGCCCGTGTTGGACAGGCGGTCAGACTAGATCAGGGGTTGTCATAAGCATACAGCTAAGGGTGGCATAAAATCCCTCCTTACCATGTAAAGGGTTAATCCCTCCTTTACCTGTAAAGGGTTAAGAAGCTCAAATAACCTGGTTGGCACCTGACCAAAAGGACCAATAAGGGGAGAAGATACCTTCAAATCTGTGGGGAAAGGTTTGTTGTTGTGGGTTCCTTTGTTCTCTCCGGGTCAGCGAGGAACCAGGGGCAGGGAAAATACATCTCCCTAGCCATATCTGAACTAAGCATCTAATATTACAGAAATAGTAAGTAATAGCAAGGAAATGCATTAGATTATCTTTTGTTTTAGCTTGTGAATTTTCCCTGTGCTAAGAGAGAGGTTTATCCCTGTTTTTGTAACTTTAAAGTTTTGCCTATAGGGGAAATCCTCTGTGTTTTGAATCTTTTTGTTACCCTGTAAAGTTATCTTCCATCCTGATTTTACAGAGTTGATTCTTTTATCTTTTTTTAAATAAACTTCTTTTAAGAACCTGATTATTTTTCAGTGTCTCAAAGACCCAGGGGGGGTTGATCTGGGCTTACTTTGTAACCAATTGGCGAGGATATTATTCTTAAGCCTCCCCAGGAAAGTGGGTATAGGGGCTTGGGGGGATTTTTGGGGGGACGTAGGGCTCCAAGTGGCCCTCCCTGAATGTTGTTTAAATCACTTGGTGGTGGCAGCGATACCAAGGGCAAGGAAGGAATTTGTGCCTTGGGGAAGTTTTTAACCTAAGCTGGTAGAAATAAGCTTAGAGGGTCTTCCATGCGGGTCCCTACATCTGTATCCTAGAGTTCAGAGTGGGGAGGGAACCCTGACAGGGGTTCTCACAACAAAGTTGTTGGTGGCCTCAGAGTGCGGCCAACAACTCTTGCTGGTGGCCACTCTGACAGTTTTTCCTAAAATACTTAATTAATTTTAGGAAAAACAAACAAATATGCACATACCCATGTCCAAATCACTATAATTTATTTATGCTTTTTGGAGATTCAATAATAAAAATAATGTACAGTTGTCTCCATTCTTTACTGGACCTAAACAGACTAGAAACACAAATTTCTAGGAGACAAATTAAGCCCTAGATGGGGAGGTGGTGGGGGGGCAGGGAGGATGGGGGGGGCAGGATGGAGGGCTGAAGGAAGCAGCGGGGGTTGGGGCAATGGAGGGGGGTGGGCCCGTGGCTGGAGCCTGGGGTCTGGCTGTGCAGCTGGGGGCTGGAGTGGTGTCAGAGGCAACGTGGGAGGTGAGCCCAGGGCCAGAGCTCTTTAGAACGTGGGATTTTCTCCTAACACCAGAACCAAGTCACCTGTCTATCTTCCTTTTGATAAGACGACCAGACTGATCGCTAGCTACCATCACTTTGTGCTAGGTCTTGCAGCTCCTATGAACTGACCTCACACAGCTCAGTGTCCATACCAAACTCTCATTCTCTCTAACCACAGCGCTTGGCCTCCTCACCTCATGTGACATGGAGTTCCACGGGGGAAATCTGCTGGGGAGTCAATTTGTTTTGTCCTTTTCAATCAGGGTGAAGGGACTTACTTCCCACACCAGCCCTGAGCGGGTTGAATTAGGCCAGGCAGACCCAATTAAGTGGCAAACAGGGGACAGATTTAGGCTTTGAGGAGGCTGCTAATTGGATGCAAGCTCATTTGTGAGGGACCAGGCAGGATTTACATCAAGCCAAGAGACTGGTACCAGAGAGAGAGCTGCAGGGTGAGGCGTGGCAGGGAAGGGAGAGGAAAGGAGGGGTAGGAATCCATGAGACCTAGGAGAGAGGAGTGTGACTAGGATGAGGGGAAGCAAGGTAGAAAGTGGTCCTGGGGTGAGAGCAGTGAGGTTAGGGAAGATGAAGACCTTGACTGCTTGGTAAAGGGCCCTCGGGTGGAACTGAGAGAAGAGGGCAGG